CTACTACTTAAGAGTACATGTTGGCTACTTCTACAGACTTGTTCTCTGAATAAATCTTCTGGTTTGTATGCTGAATACTTTGAGAAGTCCACCAAAAAGAAAACTTGACCCCAAAGAAAACTGTAAATATTCTTTTAATGCCTGCTCCTCAGTATTTCATGTCTAGATGCTTAGACTTCATTAACAACAAGCTGCTTCTATTTATAGAACCAAGTTTTAGTATCTACTTCGTTGTTTTTCTATACGTTTTGCTGTAGTTCGATTTTTGTTGTTGTTGACCAAAGGATTGTTAGGAAGAGTTAATTTTTTTGTTGATTATATATATATTATAAATATTATATATATTATATATATATTTTTTGATTTGATTTTAAGGTGACCTCTTTGCTACACTGCTTTTTATTTGAATATTAATAGTATTTTTAACTGTCAGACATATCTTGATGGCTATATATATTTGTTGAGTACAACTAGCCATACTTGCGGCTATTTAAGTAGTCTGCCTATTACTAGGTTCTACACTAGATGCTGTACCTGCACCCACTAGGGGGGTTATCTATTTAAACCCTCTGCATCTATGTACCAACTCTTTTATATCCAAGCGATGATACTTAATACCACCTTATTTTTACATGTTGGCTTAGAGCTTTAAAGCAGTCTCTACTATTTAGGAAGTCCTTTGACCTTGAGATAAATTTGCTAGAGCCTTTCATATCCACATTTAGGCTGATCTAGGCTTTGGTAACTTATGTCTAGTTTGAGAACAAGTACTTGCGAGCCGAAACCACTACTATTACCTACTTCTGCCCTTATAGAGTTCACTCTACCCCAACCTCTTACTCATCTAATTAGGAACTCTTCCACTATTTCACCAAACTTCTAATCCAGATAGCTGGTTTTGGTCGACAAGTTACGTTACCTGCTTTTCTACTGGCTTAACTAAGATACTAGCCTGTGTCCTTTTTCTCTAGTCGATTATGGTGGCCTGATTTGTATAGTACTCGCCAAACACCCAGTCCTCATCCAGATCTACAGCTTATTGGTTCTCTTCTCAGACTTTTCAGAACTGTCAAAAGAAGTGCTACTCTTTACTCAGAACTTGCCAAGCAGATTCTTATTCGAAACAAAGTCTAACAGATTTGTACAGATCCCAGAGACTTATTGTAGCTTTACACCAGCTTTTATTAGTTTGTATTCCTTTGTGTAATTTCTCTATTATGCGAATACCCAAGATCTTTCAAACTGTACTACCACTCCCAATTAGGGCTTACGAGATAAGCCGTCTATTAGACGATCATTACTCCTTGCACCTATTTGGTCTGACTGTTGTTACAGGATCTACATCTCAACACCCAAAATAGTCATCAATGCATAGAAAAATTCGATTTTTCGTTATTGGTGGGAATTAAACTCTGGATGTGCTACTTGGGGAGGGTGACAACTTGACCACTTTACTAAGTTGCCACACCCCTTATATATATTATATTTATTATATATATTATATATATAATATATATATTATTATTATTTTTATTTGAACTCTTTCTGTCAATTACTTACACAAAATTTAACTAAAAATTCGCCAGTCAAAAATTGTTAATAACACATTATTTTATTAAGATAACTGTCTTTGGCACTCTAAATAAATTTGCTCAGCTCATAATTTTATATATAGGCTAGGTGCTGGGAAAAGGGCCGAAATCGACAATTAGTAAATCACGAGATAAACAATAATTTGTGTTTTGATCACAACAATAATTGACATGCATCCGACCTAATTTGAATATCAGAAAAATGGGTCGTGTAACCCTAAACTTATGAAAATTTCCGAAAAGTGCTGAGAAAAGGGACGAAATCGACAAATTAAAGATATGATTGGCTGATACAAATTTATAAAAGCTATAAATCTGGGATTTTAGAAATTAAAGTTTCAAGCCCCAATTAATGTTAGCAAAAAGTTTGTTATAATCGTGTGATTATACTTTTATAGGTTCTTTTTTTCAGTAGCAAGTGCTTTAGATATTACAGATTGAATTTAATTTGAAAATTTTCTAAAATGCGATTATTCCATCGATCTGATGCCCACGAAGTTTAATATCACTTAATTATGATAAATATGATGATAATGTTGATTTAAAATAATAATTTACTGAAATGCTAAAATTGAAAGTTTAATCTTGTTAATATAATGTACACCTAGTGTTGTTAGACAAAACCTTTTGCGAAATGACAAAAGATGACCTCAAATGACAAAACCTCTGACGAAATCTGCGAAACCTCTATAAAGACAAATTTCTTATAAAAGGCGAACTTTCTGATAAAAGTCAAAAGCCTCTATAAAGAATAAAAACTCTGGTAACTTAAAGGCTACGTTATTGTTTGGGTCCTTATTTTTGAATAATCTTTGATTAACAACTGTTTCATTGTTTGGATGCAAAGCCATTACTTTTGTATAATCTCGGAACAAAGGAAGTCATAATTTTTGAATAATTCTTAGTATAAAATAAATTAAAGTCACATCCTAAATCTTATAATATGTATAAATCATGGCTATAAAATTTAACAGCGATAGTATTATGTGAATTCGATAGCTTTTTTTATATCCAAGTCTTACAGACAAAATCTATTAACAATAAAATGATAAAAATTTAAAGTTTTTGCCATTAAAAGTGTTTGACTCGATATTTGACAAGTGGGTAATTAATAAAGTTTTTCGCTAATTTTGTATTTTTTAATTTTATTAATTTTATTTGTTATTTTTTGTAAGTTTTGTCACTTTGTTATTTTAAAATTTTTTTGACAAGACAAAACCTAGTTTCAGTAACAAAACCCTTAAGTTTTGTCTAACATTATGTACATCAAACTAGAAAATCAACCAGTCTCTCACAAAATAAGTAGATTATAACACATATTTCGGCCAAAATTAACTGATTCCCAAACGAAACTATATATTTATTTGTTAAGTTCTCAAATAGTGGCTTTTCGCTCAAAATCTTACTCAGATATCTGACATTTTATATTCTTGCTTAAAAAGGCACTGAGGTTTGACGTATATCGGCATTCCACAAACAATAGAGTTTGAAGTTATAGACAGTAATTTCATACGTAGTTAAAGGTATGGGTTGCAACCTAAAGATGCTCTTAAACGTTATATGTTACAATTGTATAGATTAAAAAAACTTAGACTTTTAATGCAAATAAAATACATGCAGTAATGACAGATTTTAAAGATAATGCATAATATACCTACTTATTTATTTTTCTTAGGATGGGGTACAGACGGTAGTGGGCAAAATTCATCTTTTTTTGCAGGATCACGGACATGATCTCGAATTTGTTCGTACAGATACCATTGTCGTTCGGGGGTTAATTTTTTTGCTAAAAGAGGTGCTGGAAGATTATGCGAAGGAAATGAATTTATTTTATTTTGTTTTAGTAACATTATTTCAGTTTGTTTTCCACAAATTTCTAATTTTATTTCAACTTTTCCAGGTTTTTCTGATGAAATAATAAAATGGTGCTGTTTTAGAATTTGCGAAACATTTCCAAACGATTCATTTAAAAATTCATCCCATTTGTAAAATGCAACCTATTGAACGCCATTTGAATTATAAACCGTTTGTGCTATATTATATCCTCCAATCGTAGAATCTTGAATGACCTGAACCAAATCAGCTAAATTATCTACTTCGGAATTACGAAGCTTTAATTTAATAAGTCCAAAAAAACCATCTGGAGAAAACTTAGTATGACCAGCAACCATGAATGAATATATGATTCGTTTATGCAAACCGTTTAAAACACGCCACATTAAATATTTTATCATTGAATTATTCTTATTTTGTCCTGGGCAGTTATCAGCGTGGATAACAATATACTTTTCTCCAAGACCACGAGTTTCAAAATAATGATGAACCATTGAAATAACAGCATTCGCACCTTTTCCAACGTCCTCATTTTCTTTAATTAAATAATTTGTCTAAAATATAAATTTATTTTAAGTACTAAAAATTTTTTTGAATTTTTAAAAAACTAGTTTAAATACCTGCTGTGGAAAAGCATCCTCACATATACCAAAGATTGAAACTTTATATAACGATTTAAAATAAATTGATCCCTTAAAAAAAAAAAAATTGAAACTATTTAATATGATAAATGCTACCAAGTTTATTAATCAATATTGTCATCAGAATGCTGCTATAAGGCACGGTCTAACAGATTTCTTAAAAATATTCTAATAATTTAATATTAATAAATTATACAGTCAGACCCCTTTAAATGCAACTCCTCTAAACGCACGCTCTCTGAAAAGCTTCCCTAAATGCATGTTTTTGTTTGGGTCCAACTAATATGATACCTATGGATTTTACCTCTTTAAATGCAATACCTCTCTAAATGCACTGTCAACTAGATTTTCACATATGGTTCTATCACAATGCATTTAGAAAGAGAGGTCTGACCGTAATTTGACTGTAATTCTATAATTGTTGAGATTATAAAATTTTAATAATAATTACTTCTTGTTGCGAAGAATATGGGAGATGCACTGCTTCAGAAAAATCCCATGAAATATGATTTTCAAACTCTATAGAATTTGGTACTCCTGGACGTAAAAGTGCGGATGCATCATTAAAAAATCTTAGTTGTTGCTTCGTATTAAGTATACATTGCCTAAAATTTTAATTTATATAAAATTATTATTATGTAAAAAAATAAAACTATTATGGCGCAAATCTATCATTTTGTAGTTAGAGATTATAATTTAAAAATCAATAGAATGCTTTGAAGACTAATAATCAGCAAAGTATTATTTGAACATAAATCTAAATGATTTGCGCGATCTCACGAATAAAAATTAGATCCGTTGAGTTTTTATGCAGACTATTGGCTTCTATTTAGGTTAATGATATCTGATAAAATCATTCTTGCAATAATAAAATAATTTCATCACGTATTCCTGACAAAGCCTTGATGATTGACGAAACTTCTACTTAACCACCCTAAATGCATATTGCAAAGAGTTCATTCCGGGTGGAAGCATTTAGGAAAGTTTCTCTGTACAAACAAAAAATTAATATTGCATAAGCTAATTTATTTCATTATGAAAGAAAAGAATGATAGCCCTGTGCTTATCAAACTCTATATTTCGTCAATCACCATAGGCTTTGTCATTCATCAATTCGTTACAGTCTGACTTTTCTAATTGCATAGTCAAGGGCCTACATGAAAAACTCAAAAATCCTTGCATCTAGATAGGTACTGCATTTAGAAAGGCAAAAATTTATATCATACGAGTTTGGACCAAACTAGGCATGCATTAAGAGAGGTTTTTCATACACTATGCATTTAGAAAGGTTGCATTTAGAGAGGTAAACTGTTTAAAAAATTGGTTGATAATTGTTTTATCACTTGTCAATGATGAGAATTTGTTATTCATCAGGCATCATTAACCTAGATCTAATCATAATTATTAAATTTCTTACTTATAATAATCTCACTCTTGATGTGCCTAATTGATATGATTATTCCATTGTTGAACATTTTGATCTTGTTCGCTTTCTGTTCAAAATTGAGTATTGAATCACATATTTTTACATAATGAACATAGATCACTTCGAGGCGACAAAAAGCGAATTTCTGGTACATATTTTTTCCAAATTCGTATAAAAGACCATCGACTAATATAAAAATCAGAGGTTTCATCTAAACTTGATAGATAAATACGATATAATCCGATATAGCTTTCGCTTGCAGGGAGAAATATAATAGCCATAGTATCTTCACGAAAATGGCGGCCTAATAAATATTTTATTAATTAAAAAATATACACATTTATTACATACTTATAATTTCTAAATTTTAACAAGGTAAGATAGCTAATATCGCTATATCAATTATCTGGTGATGGCAATCCATGATAATTAGCGTAATTAATAATAAATGTAAGAACATTTAAAATAATCGCAAAAGATAAAGCATGATGAGATTTTCTTCCTGAAAGTGTATTTATAATTGGTTTAATACCATTAACCCGATAATGATTACGAATATTTTTCTATTTTTTTTCTGTTAGCGATATATAGTTTGAAAAGCTTTCTCACAAATTTCATCATTATTAAAAGTATATTTAACGGTTAAATATTGTTTTTCTTTACCACGTAAAGTTTCATTAGAACGAACCATTGCATGAAGCATCCCTAAAAGAAACATATTATACTCTGTTTTTGATAATTTTCACATACAATCGAAAATTTGAAACGCCAATTCATGATCAGTTTTAGTTAAGCACATTTTACTTTTACAACAAACGAATGTACGTAATTTTAAAAAAAAAGCATCCTTTTCTTGCTGATCTAAAAGTACCGTTAATTGCTCATTAATTTCTTGTTCCTCATCGCTTTCCTTAATTGTATGTTGAGCAAATATTTTTTGAAATTTTTCAATTTGAAAGAGCGTAAGAATTTGATTATCTAATTGTTGTGGTTCCTTATCTTGTATATCGTCAATAGGGACTGGACTCGTGATAACTCGTGACTCACGAGTTAAACTCAGAAGAGTATTCGAATATATTTGAATCATGTGA